AAACTTTTATTCTTTATTTTCACTGAACAGAGACTACACCCCATCAGCCACCATCAATATTTAATTTGCATTTTACAATAAAGTGCTTCGCTGTTTGCTTTTACGCTTAAAAGCGTCACAAAATATTGAAAAAGAAAAGAAAAAAAAATAAAATTGAAAAGTGCAACGAAACCAAATTCAATTTTGATAAAGAATAAAAGAGCAATAAGAGAGTGGAAGTGGCGGGGATCCTTTTGGGAAAATTAAAGAATTTTTTTGGGGTGTGTTGTGGTGTCTGAGGGTGTCTGGGATTTATGATAGCGTGTTTTGAGATCTAGAGATGATTGGAGAGATGTTGGTGCAGTAAGAGGTGACTGGTAGTAACAAAGAGTATCAAAGGATGTCCCAAGATGCCAAAATGTGCCTGTGATGACTTTGAAGAGTTTTTGGGAACCAAAAGGTACATCATACTATATTTAAGGGTTTCTAGCAAGTCAATTTTAATTTATAAACCTGAAAACAACCTCCATACACATCAGACCACCTCATTCTAACATTAAATTGTAATTCCAATCCTCAACCATCCCAATCGACTTCGAAATCTCAACGCAAAAAAAATCACCAGCACTTCCAACAATCACAGAACCATAGAAAGTTCAGAATCAAATATAATTATAATTCAGTGTCAATTTAATAACAGTAATACTCCGACTACAAAGAAAGACGGAATTGCATCATAAAAACATCCTCAACTATCAGTAAACCATAAAACTTAATGTTATTACTCTTTCATTACGTATTTTCTATGCGAGCGAATTGAAATGAAATGAAAAGATTCTTAGGTGGGAAGTTGAACTTGGTTTGGAATGAGTCGAGCAAAAAATTCAATTGTAGAAGCTAAAAGAAGCTTAAAAAGCCATCCCCGTACTTACCGACTCTAAGATGTGCGGGGATTATATTTCGATTTTCACAGAGCTACACTTTTGTTGCTACATGACAGAAGAAAAATCTGTTTCACATTTAAAAAGATATTGCACATTGTGTGCGACTGAATGTGCAATTGTTGCCAATGGGAAATGATAGTTTGGGTGGGATGAGGTGAGTTCCTTAAGGAAATATGAGATTTTCGTGATTCCTGGTTTGTTGCTTTTCAATATCTTGATGCTGGTACGAAATAATGAGCAAAAATTCTGTGGAATATTTTCATACTTAAAAATAAAATCCCAGACACCTCAAATTACCTCAATCCTACTTGAATCTTCAACACTGTGCAAAACACCATTCACAAAAAAATATTAATAACAGAAAAATTTTCCCTCCACGAAAAAAAAAATCAGAAATCTTACAAAATCGCATTAAAAGCTTCTTATTCCCTCATCATAAAAGCTGAAGAAGGAAAGGAAATTAGCAGAATAAAGCTGTGCTGTATAGCTTTTTAATTCCCATCCAACAACACCGTCCGATGATTTTCAGATCAATGACATTTAAAGACTACTCAAAAAAATCCTTAATCCTTATTAGTTGCACGTTAATGATTGTCCTGATAATAATATGCGGTAGACGGGGAAGTGGACGATGACTCGAATAAATTCACACAATAAAAATGAAAATTTTTTCGATTAAAATTCTCGTTTAAACTTTATTTGCTCTCTCTCTACGTTCCTTCTTATTGTTTCGCTGCCATAACCCTTTCACCTTCCTTCTTCTGTCTAACATTTAAGCTTGTACAATTATTATTATTGTTATTGTAGTCATTCTAATTGAATTATTTCACTGTTTATCGTTAAACATTCAACTATTAAGTTCTTTTTGTTTTGGAACAAAGGAAATGTTTGTGGATGGAATATTTTTTTGGGTATGAAGGGTGATTGTGCGCTTATTGAGGGCTGACTTGGCAGTTCTTTAATTTAAAAGACGTCTTTTATTTACTTCTGGAAGCAAGGAAGAGGCTAGGGTCTTAATTTTCTTGATATATGCTATTAAAAATTGAGGAATTTAATTAGGATTCGAACTTAGGATTTTAAGAATGTAAGGCCAATGCTCTCCTACTTACCATACAACGGCTAGTTCTTTGTCGTGGTTAAATCATGTATTATTATCTCCACTGTCCTTCATAGTTCAGTCAGTCAAACATCTACTCAAAAAAAAAATACAGAACCACCAAAAATCATGCTCAAAAATATTCTCAAGAAGAAGAAAAATTTCTCACAGTCGCGTCACTTGTAACGCGCGACCTGTATATAAGTATTCACACCATAATATTCAGCACGAGAATAGTAGTTAAAAACATTTTGAATGAGATTGGGAAATGGCATGAATAGAGTGCTAAAATTGTAATACATAAAAATTCTTTTGTTGAGCTTTTTTAATTAAAAAATAAGAAAAATATTTGTTGTATATACGAAGTGCTGAATTTAATAGCTGTGGATTTTTATGGTGAGCTTCTTTTTTCTGAGAAAATAAAAAGGCGAGAAAAATGTCATTTTAGAGTGAGAAAGGAATCCCTTTTTTCCTTCTTCTTGACTTAATTTTTTTACTATTTTTAAATGCTTTTTATTGCTCGTATTTACTTTGAAGAAATAAAATAAAAAAAAAATGTTTGATATGGGAAAAGGGATGAAGCATAGTCTAGGAATGTGAATGGATTATAAACCTATCAGATGAAGTTTTAGATCCTGGATAAAACGAGTTTAATGCACATTGTGAATCTAGATAGAATTATTGTGAGATCGGATGTAGAATTTGTATTTTATGAAGTTCCTGGAGTTGAACAAAAGATTTAAAGCTGCAATTCTCTTCACACCAAGATTCTCACCACAATATGAAGCACTAAAAGTGAAAAACAAAGGTAAAGGAAGAAGATTAGGACACTAAAGCAGTAAATCTTTTTATTTGAGAGATGTAAAAATGAGTGGGAGATTAAGGCAGGAGGAAGAAGTAAAAAGGAGCTTTAATTAAACGCCACACTGATGACTTTCCACATTTTTCATGATTTCCTCTTTCTTTTTGGCTATAATTGTGCTGCTTAGGTTGAATGCTTTCAGAATTTTTCGTTTAAACTATTCTCATACTCTATAGCAATTGGTGATGCAAATCTGGGAGCTGGATGTACTAAACAGTTATAAGTGTATAGTCAGTTATAAGTCATAAGGCATCCCCAGATCACCAATAAATCTAGAATCCACCTAAAAACTTTCACAAGGATTCTTAATAAATTACCACAGAAAGTCTCATAAAATACAATCACACACATTCATTTCTTATGAGTCAAGGATCCTATTAGCCTTATTTTCGTTCTCATTTCTTATTTCACATGGAAGTAACAATCTTCTCATTTTGAATGGATCCTTGTGAGAATTTTGTTATGACTTTATCATATTTTTGCTTGTCTTACAATTTTTTTTTGATTTTTTTAAATCTTAAGAAATTTATTCCACCTTGAAAGTTTGAGGGTCTATAACTTTTTGTTTAACAATCATTATGATAAGATCGAATGATTTTAATAATCAACATGTCGGAGCAAAAATGATTTCATCAATTTCGTCTAGTTTATGTCTTTCACAAAAAATTTAACCTCAAATTTTTTTTATATTTCTCTTTAATGCTCCAATTTTGTAATATATTATTATCCACCTTGTTCATCTTAGAATCATCAATACTCAAATCCTTATAAAAATCATAAAACCTTGAAAAATCTCTCACAAAATCCCCACCAAGGACACAAAAAATCTTCAGCCATATGAAATAACTTCCTCCCATTAAGAACGTATTGAGAAGAAAATAAGGAAAAAATTTCCAGACACATAAAGTTGCCTCATAGAGCTCTCGTCGATGTTCACAATCCCACTTTATTTCTCTATTTCTGTTCGTTCTGCAGCACTAAAAAAACTTATTTTCATTCTGTTCCTGAAGATATTCTCTTCTCCCTCTTAAATCGAAAGTTTTTCATTCATTTCTGCAGAAAAAGTTTTTCACTTTTCTTCTTCACTTTTCCGTTAAGGAGAAAATCTCTGAAAATCTACAAGAAAATCTAGGAAAAAAATTTTTCAATCTGCAACGAGCATAAAAGCTCAAAAATATGTTTTCGATTGTCATCAGCAAATGGATATAATGTATCGTTTACTATTGATGGAAAAAAATTGTGTATCTTGTGCTGTTTCTCGCAGAAATGAAAAACTTTATGGACTTTTGTGTTATTCAGTTAACATTATTGGCATTGTTGTGTGTTGAGATTTGGTATGAATGAAATTGAAGATTAAGGGTGGTGTAGATGATATTTTGTAAATGGAATGGTTGTTTATGGATGGTAAGGTAACTTGATGTGTTCATGCTTTATAAATAGATGCATATTGTGTACGAAAAAGTAGATTTATGTAGACTCTTGAGCTGAGAATATTCAAGATGCTTATTATTGTTCAGAATTGTTGAAGATGCGAGCGTGTTTTGGAATGACAAGTGGATGGCAATGAGAAGTAAATTCTGATTATTTGAAGCTGAATTTTGAATTGTCAATTGTCTGGAAAGTTTGAGGAAAAAAATTGCATTTTTTTGGGTACTTGAAAGTTTTTTAAACAACTTTAAAGTGGATTTAAAGTTTTTTCAAGAGATTTAGAACTGTTAAAGCCATCAAGAATTCTTCTCCATCCACCTACACACAATGTATCTCTTCCAACTTGAATGTCTTCCTCAATTTCTCAGTTTCATTCAACCGCCACTATCATTCTTATTTTCTTCGTACTGTAAATACTCTCACAAGAGTTCAATCCTAATTAAATTATATGAAAGTATGATAATGAGGAAGTTCAATGTGAAAAACTTTTACTTCTTTGTTGACGAAGCTCATTATAAAAATTCCTCTTTTTACCAACCCGGAGAAATACAAATTGAGCAAAAAGAAAATTGGAAGCAGAATATAAAAAAAAAGTTTTGCGACTCGCTAAACAACAATGAAAATTACAAAGAACAAAAATAAAAGTTTCAATTTCAATAATCTTATTTTTTTTCCTTTTTTTCATTTACAGATTGAAGATGAAGGCAAGCATGGAAATGACGACACACGAATGTTTGTGCTTTCGTCATTGGCAGCACACAAGAAGACACATATGGCATGTATTTTGTGTAAGGAAATGATGATGGTATACGATCGATATCCATTAATCGATGGAACATTTTTCTTAAGTCCGATTCAACATTCAAAGGATTGTATTGAGGTAAATATTATAGTTTTAAATTTTGAGGTTAGAAAACTTTGTAACAAAAATTAATTTTTGAATCTTGCGTGCTCCGACTTTTTTAAGAAAAATCTGCAAGAACTTTTAAAATTAAGCAATCCAGTTAAGAAATATAACACCCCGAAAATTCGAGGTGGCAGATCCATGAAAAAATTACAAACTTAATCCAACTATGGTGTTTCCAAAATATTGACATTTGGACCTCGAAAGATAACAACAATTCCCTTATTGTTCTTCCAAATATATGAGATGCTTAAATGAACCAAAAGAATCGCCATAAATTACATTGTACATCCATAGATTACAAGTTTTTATTAAATCTAACTTGATGCCAACAACAAACACCATATAACATGATATTATTTGTTGTCTGCGGAATCAATGACTAGACTAAAAAGCATTTCATTTTCTCCGTCCCATTCTCTTGTTGCTTGTATGTATTTAAAGACCATAAGCGATTATTGAATGTACGAGCTATAAAAAAAAGCTTCAAGAACATGAAAATGTCATAAGGACGATGACTCAAAGACAGTGGAAAGAGGGTGCTGTGATTAATATTTAATTCATTTTTATTATTATAAGCTCGGAAATGTAGGTCACTGCGACATCGACAGTAACATGAATAGATGTCGAGATATAAAATTGGATTTCGTGTTTTTAAAACTTTGAACTTTTCACACGGAATTATTTGACATTGGGTGGGTTTGTGGAATGGATTTATTGCTGGTGTTTTGGAATTTTAAGTGGGAGCGTGATGGTTTTATCCAAATTTATGGTCCATAAGTTGTCAGTGCAATTAAAATTAAGCTCCAAAAATATCCTGTCATATTAAAACCACCAGAAATAGCATTCAAGTCCACCAACCTCTGAGTACAATTCTAAACACCTTGCAGTCTGCCAGAGGATTAGTAGGATTAAAACTTACAACATACTTACACCAAGCTTGAATAAATTAAAGTCATGTTGAGGTAGCACTAAGCTATAAAAGAGGAAAAATCAATAATCATCTAATGTAGCGTGTCATACACCTACAAATTGTCACTAAATATCATTTTGCAATTTTCTTTAGTCGTTAGCTTGTATCCCCAAGGGGAAATTTTACTTATAAAAAAAATTACAAGAAGAATGCATCAATTGAGTGTAGAATCGTGAATAAAAAATGAAATGGAAAATTGAGCATGAAAGATGGGTGGATAGTCTGGGGAATATGTTGAGGTTAAGTGGATTTTTGGTGGGAAATTAAAAAAATTGAGGTTATGTTGAGTAAAATTCTGAATTTCCTAGGTTTGGAATTGGGTAACATACCGAGCACCCTCAATTTCTTTTCTTCTGTCTACTTTACATCATACCAAACACCAGCTGATGGACATAAATGTTGTGTATAAAATTATCATTATACACTATTCCATTTACTGTAATAATCCAAATTGAACATTTTTTTCTCTGCTTTAGCAATTCCTTTCGTATTAATCACATTCGCCCAGACACTTTTTTTTTCGTGTATGACTGTATGTGCATGTGGCTGACTCGTTAGTTGAACTCAACTTTTGTGCATTCTTTGTTCAGTTAAGCCACAAACATGATTATGTCCAAAAAAAAGTAGTAGTTCATTAATCAAACAAGACGAAGAATCTATCAAGTGACTGTTGGGGAGGGTTGCCCAAAGGGTTTACGACAAATTAGATGAATTATAGCTCGAGCTCTTGTCTGTTCGTTGATAAAAGTCGGAAAGCTTTAAGTTTCTTGAATATTTTCTAGCCAAAATTTGATACTTTTTGTTCATTCTTATCAGATTATATGTCTCATTTCATTATCCTTTTCCTTCTCTTTTCATTTCCAGACAAAATTCGAAGGACGAACCTGCTACTTGACATCCGTCTGCATCGAATGTCTCGATGGTACCATTCCAGAAAAGATTTTCCGTTGCCGGTAAGTATTTTATTGTCTTATTCATCCTCTTGATGCTCGTTAACTGATGCAATTTACATTTTTTTTCTCTCATTTTTTCTCCTTTTCATAATCATCATATCTTGTTATACTCTCATCTTTAAATCACTTACGACATGTATCGTACAGATTCTGTGTTGAGAAGTGGGACGGATCGGCACTCGTTATGGGAACGATGTATTCGTTTGACATTTTTGCAGCAATGCCCTGCTGTACGGAACGATTGAAGGTAAGAGAACGGATAAACAATCAGTAAATAAGTGATTGTGGGAAAATGAGATCACATGTTGGATTAGAAGTGGAAGTAAATTGAATTGAGTGCATTATAAATGATTTTTGGGTGGGTTGTACTAGATACATTTGTAAAGGATGTTAAGGGATTTTATTTACTCAGGATATTTGGATCTTCAGCTCAAAAATGATCCAAAGTGACCTAAAAGAGTCGCTCTATCCTTATTCTTGAGGATCCTACAAAATGACGTACTAACCCCTTCCATATTCCATCTAAAACTACAACTTTTCAATCTTATTCAATGTTCATCAACTCTTCTCTAAACTAAATCGACATCGCCCTTCCATGACTTACAGCTTGACGTTGAAATCTAGTTTAAAAATTGAGTTGCTTCGTTTATATTTTTCATGTTCTTTTTATCTTCAATTTTTTCTTTACGAGATACTTGTTATCATCACTTGACACCATTACTGACATTGACTGTCTTGAATGAGAATCGACTGACTGATGTGCTCTAGAAAGTTTAGTTAAGTTTATGTGATTTTTAAGGAGGTGACTCTTTGAGAGAAGTTTGGATAGGATTGGAATTTGATTGTTATGGGGACGATGCATAAGAGTTAATTGAAAGAACTAAGAGGAGATAAATTATAAATTATAGCATTTTGATGCTTGAAGACTAGGCCTCAGGACTTATCCTAGGATGCAGTATGACTTCTGTTCCAAATAGCCCTAGAAACCGACCTCAGTTGATAGTCCAAACCATCAATTCCATCAAAATACATATCAAAAATCAAAACTCAGACAACAATGAACACCTCCGAAAACTTTCCAGACCAAAAAATTCATTGAACTTCCTTTTCAATTTCAAACATTTCATTTCGAGGTCATTTAAATATTTTATTGACTAGAACATCAAAAACTTTGTATGTAATTTCACCTGTCATTCAAATTTCATTCAATACAATCATTTATAATAGCTATCATTCCCATATCACATGTTGCAGACTAGACTGTATTATTAATATTGACAGGGGACAAATAAAATTATTGTGGCTATTTTGTGGGTCAGAGAATGTTTTAATATTAATTTATTCATCCTTAATCTTAAGTTTCTTCGATTTAAGCTTTGTATAAACTGACTTACCTCCTCATAATCCCAAGTTTAAACACCATTTTTGACAATTCTCAACAGTATGCTCAAAAAATCATGACGCACATGAGCAAACATGTACCAGCTAATACGACATTATGAAAGAATAAAAAAAATATGAATAATGCGTTCAACATCCAACCAAGCCAATTTATCTCATCTGCGATATCTCTCCGCGAGCAATTCAGACAATAATTCTTGCTTATTGCAAATTCTCTTTTTCTTTTCTCCTTTTTTTTATCATGAATAATTTGCTCATAAAGACTGAAAAATGGAAAATTGTTTTTGAATATCAAAAGTTCACAGTTGTTAAGCTTCTGCACATGAATTTTTTATTTTTCGCATATACACACAGTTGTGCGCTGTTTCTTTCAAGTATCATTTTCATGGAGCCCGCAATAAGAAGTGTACACAAAAGAGGGAAAAGAATTGGCAATGAAACGTATAAAAAAAAGCTCCTAAAGCGGTCAATTGTTTCTTCACTCCTTCTCACTCAATGTCTGCGTACATTATCCGACGATAAGAGATGAATTCACAGATGGATAATAAAGTTGATGTTGGAATTGTTCAAATATTCATTCAGAAAGTACAATTGGGGAAATGGAAGTAAAATGTCTTATTTAATGGTCGGGCTGCGATCATAAAATGTACTTTACAGTCATAAAATGAAGTAAAGCTTTTAATTTTTTGTTTAGTGTGGATCCAAGCAAGGGTTATAAAATGCACTCAATTGCAATTTTATTAAGGTTTAAAAATTTTCAACAATATTTTATTAATTCCCTAATTTCCATTTTCACAGTGCAACAATTGCTTTAAACTGCTTTTACATCCACATCAACGATTAAACTTCTTCAGTGACTACACACACTCCGTCTCATGTCCATACTGTCAATCACAAGATACTCATTTCGTGAAGCCATTGAACTACTGTTACACCAACAAACCTCTCCAGCAATTCCAGCAGTGGCCATGACATGAGGCCACGTTGGACTCACCAAAGTCCTCGACATTGGCATCGCCGAAAATCGGAAGCAATGAATCCGGTTATATGTCGTTGACAAATGGTGAATCTAACGTAATGAGCAGCAGCAGCAAAGCTAGTTCGATTTGGGGTGATAAGTCATTGTGGAATCTATCAAATAGTCCAAATTCAACATCATCAATGCAGACAGCAAACAGTAGCATGTGCAGCAGTGATGGAAAAGATTCATTCTGGCATTCATCAACATCATCGCCGATCTCATCAGCATCACAATACAATCATTTAAATTCCCTATGGGGATGTTCTTCAATTAAGAGTGATCCACATGAGGAATCACTCGGATCCATTTGGAATATTCCGCCAGCAACATCATCACCAAAAATGCATGATTCAAATTTTGAGGCACCACTTCCACCGCCTATAAGTTACAATCAGAAAACACAACCGCAATTGTTGAGACCTCAGGACATTGGCGGTATGTCATGGAGTGGATTGTCTAGTGCAAATAATGGAAATAACCATAACAATCACATAAACAGCAACAACAACAATATGAATAATAATAATAACAATAATAATAATTGCAATAAGATGAAGGATCCAGTTGGTGCATTATGGGCACATCCAACACCACCAAACTTACCTCTTACACTTCAGGCACAGAACTACAATTTGTTGTCGACAAACAGTAAGTTCCAATCGCCAATAAAGCCAATGGGAAATAACTTCATGTCACAAAATCCCATGTCATCGACCATAAATACACAGAGCTCTACCTCATGTAATATGCAACTCCTTTCTGACGATTTTCTCAGTTACTTCAGCATGATCAATTAGTTTAATTATCATTTTTAAAAAAGTCGTGTCCAACAAACTTTTGTTTGTCCTGCCGACACAAATAATTAAAATAATTAATTTCATTTTATTTTGAATTAATTCAACTAAGCGAAATTTATTGAATTGTTGATTAGTTTTATTTTTATTTCAATTTTTTTTTTACATTATTATTTTTTTTTGAGTTTCTCGTTTTATTTTGAATTTTAATCCCCCCATGCTTTCTCAATAATTGTGATTTAATTCCTTGGAAGCAAAACATAATTAATTGTCGAAATTTAAATTTTTGTAAATAAGAAGAAAAAAATTAATTGATGATGATTTTGTGTATAAAAAAAATTGATGAAATTCCTGTCATTAATTAATTAATTCATAAGACGATATACAATATCAATTTTATAGAGAATATGATGAATTCAAGAGTTATGGTGTGTTATTATGGTCATAATTTTATTATTCATATATATTATATTATTGTATTTTTGGGGGCGTCACTAAGGCACATCCCCAATGAAATTAACTCTAATTTTGTGAAAAAAAAAAATCATGAATTTTTCTAATAAGTAGTGAAAAAAAACGTAAATTATTTCATAATCATTATTAATCCACAATTTATTTCCAACAATCTTTTTGTTAAATTAAAAGAGTTTATTAAGCGAAATTTATTATTTCACGTAATTTAAAAATAATATTAAAAAAAATTTTAAAAATAAATGTAAAAAGAAGTGTATAATTAGAGCAATAATTGAATTATGAAATTTATTACCTCTTACATGCAAAAAAAGAACAGATTAGTTTCCTTATGAATGTATACAAAAAAATTATATTACAATTTAAAAACGTTTTTAGTTTCAATTTTTTTTTATATTTGATTTATTATCGTCTCATTTCTGACTTATTGTGAATTTGTGTATATCAAATAATTTTAAGAAATTAATGGAAGTTTTTCTACAAATTAAAAAAAAATTAGAATTTAGGAAATTTTCTACGATTTGTCGCGAAAAAAATTAAAGAGCTCAAAAAAAATTTTATATAAAAAGCTCTTTTGTAGATTTATGTGCGAATAATCACAAGAATTTTTCAATATCAAAATGTAAAGCAGTGTGGATAGATTCGGATTTAAGGCATTTGGTTGTTTGAGGGTCTTGAGCAAGATGCTGCTGGGTACCTAGCCAATTTTTCTATTTTTCTTGATATTTATTGATTATCAATTTATACCAAGAAACTTAAAATAAAGCAAAATATCAGCACATTTCTTTTAAACCCCCCAACAACCCCCCTCTCAAAAATTTTGATAATCAAAATCGTCGTTTAAAATTTTAAGGCGATTATTTCCATGTAAAATTACCAAAAGAGTCAAAGAATTGATGATAAAAAAATTATTACGGAAAAGTATTCGATAATAATGAAAAAATTTATACTGAATATAATTAAAGATTTAATTGGTTTGAAATGAAAAGAAATTTTTTAAAAATTTATAGAAAATAAGGCAAAAAAATGAAAAGAAAATTTTTTTTTTCATTTTTAAAAATTCTCAATGAAGTGTGATAATTTTTTATACGCGATTGTAGATGTTATGATGATAAGTATTTGTTCTATTTGGGAGTAAAGAAGTTGGAAATTTGAGAATTCATAAAGTTGAAATTTTTGTAAAATTTTGAAGAATTTTTGTTGAATTTTAGCAATTAAAGTAAAAAATTCACTCAATTTTCAACAAAAATCTTCCAAATTTGCAAAATAATTTTAGAATTTAAATTTTTTCAAAAATCATGACCCTCGCTAAAATAGAACCTTTGTCTCTCCTGTTTGATAAACTTAGTATGTTGCTTCGTTCATAATTATTTTTCATATCTTTTACCAAAAATTTTCGGTTTTCAAATTTTTTGTTTGGATTTTTTTCACAAAAATTAATACTTAAGCATATTTTGATCATTCCCAAACTTTTGGAATTTTGATGGATTTTTCTTCACTTTTTTTCGACTTTCAATCAAAATGAAATTGAATATTTTGGAAATACTTAATAAGGATTAAGGTTTTTTAAGTGTGCAGGCAGGAAATTGAGGTTTTAAGGGTGATAAATGAGTCAAAAATCATAAAATAAATTAATTTTCAATATTTTTATTTCAACTTTTAGTAGAATTTCACATTCAAAACTCATCAAAAATTTAGTTCAAATTTTAATAATAACTTTCCATAAATTCAAAAGTATTATTTAGCAAAATTTTCCATTAAGTCAGCAGAATCAACTCATATCATGACTCATTTTATAATTTAACTCATTTTTACATCATTTTTAAATTTTAAAATAATTTTTTCATCGCCATTTCATCATTATTAAACTCATTCAACAACCAACGACTCATTTATAACCCCCAAAACCCTAATTATCTCCCCCACATCTCAAATTCTTCTGCACAGAAGTGATAACAATGCTTCAGCATTTAAAAATTATTTATTTTTGCATATGCTCACATGTGATTGTGCTTTAAGCATATTTGTTCTATTTTTGTCATTTTTAACTGCAGAACTCTAAAAAGAATCATCAAAAATTTGTATTATAAAAAAGTTCTGCTGAATATTTTTCTACGAAAAGTGAAGAATTCCATCTCAAAAAAAAAATTGTAAATTACTAATTAAGCTACAAAAATACTATCGATAATGATGTTGAAGGACATGAATTCATGATTCTTCTTTGAAAATGAAAATGTATTAAAGACACTGGATGTTGTAAAGAGAAAGGAGCTGAAGTTTTGGTATGCAGCTGGTTGTACCCTTAAATGTGGTATTCTCATGATTTGGGATTTACCCATGACCACGGGGTGTCCACAAAAGTTGAGTAGTAGCACATGTAAGAGTAAGACTAGTTGCGTACCTAGAAACCAGCTCCAGAAGTTGGAAATTTTGAATCAGAGTTGATTATTAGAGTTTGTATGGATTATAGACTACATGAATTCCTGAAAGGCTCTGTCAGGCAATCTACAATTCATACCAAAACTAAAATCAACTTCTCAAATTAACTGGCAGATTGGAGCAAAAGTTGGGCATTTTCTAAACAATTCACAGCTGTTGAGCTATTGAAGAACCTAGCTTCCCTCCAAATCTAGCCGAAAAGCACTAAAAATGCAACTTTCTACAAGCAAATTATGCCAAAAAAAATAAAAACTTATACAAAATTACACCGATGAGACTAAAACAAAATTTTCTACTAAAACTTCATCTTATTCTAAAGTCGACTGCCCAGGAGCAGCTAAGGAAAGAAAAATAAAATGATGAGAGACTTAAAATCATTCACCAATAATTAATTGAACTTTTTTGCGGAATTAATTAATTAAACTTCGCGATAATGAAGCTTTCAAGGTGATTAAGCTTCGATATTAATCCTCACCATTAAGTGGGAAAATTTCTTATCGTGAAACATTAAAGATTGAGTAATAAGAAGCCACATAACTAATACTAATTATTGCCATTAATTAACAGAAAAATGAAGATAACAAGAACAACTCATTGATAACAGAATTAAATGAAATTAATTCTAATTATTGTGTGAATGAAATTACGAGTGAATGTGAATGAACATAAATTTTTTTTATAGTTTAATGACAAACACAAATTAGCTGAAATGAGCCAAAAGAGAGCAGAAAATAAAAACTTTTTTTGGCAAGTACAGAAAAAAAATAATGAAAAATTTTCCTCATTATTATTAATAATATATATTAATAATATTAAAAATATAGTAAAGCGTTAAATCATACAACAACAACAATGGAGTTTTCTATTATGGAAAAATTTTTTTGAAAAAATTTCACTTCATTTAATTAAACTTTTTTATATTATTTTGCTTACCTCAGAGTTTAAGGGAAATATAAAATTTATGAGAGAATCATTATGAAAGTAGTTTGGGGGTTTGGGGAGATATTTTTAAGGTGGATAATAGTTGGGGTGTGTGGTAGAATGATTGTGGAGTTCAAAGACAGTTTTTATTATTAATTCATATAATCTTTCAATTTTTCAAAACTTAATTTTTTCAATACTTTTTCAAAAATTTTGCAATATTTCTAATTTTACAATTTTTTTCAAATTCCAAACTATTTTAAATTTCAACTTTTTTAAATTCATAATTTTTAAAATTCATTTTTTTTTTAACTTTCTTAACTTTTGAAATATCAATTATTTTTAAAATTCTCAATTCATTAAATTCATAATTCCTTAAATTAAGTTTTTAATTCCAAAATTTTTGATTTTAAAAAAATACAATTAAATATCTGATTACATAAACTTTAAAAAAATTCCACAATTTTTCTGTCACACCCCCTCTCTCATATTACCTTTCATAACCCCCTGCCCTTAAAAAAAGAATGAAGAAAATGAATATAAAAGTTTAGTCCAGTTGGTGTTGAATAATGGATGAAAAAAAATAATAATAAAAGAAAAACGGTAGAAAGAAATAATTTATATATTTAATATATATAATGAAATGAATTATTATTAAAAAAGTATATATACATAAAAAAAATATAGAATTATCGTCTCTCTCGTAGGACGCAATGGAAGCAACTTTAAATTTGTAAAATGAAATGAAATGAAAAAAGTTTTAAGAATTATTTTTTAATTTTTCTGAGGGGAAAATATAAAAAAAATTTGTTTCTTTTTATTTGAAATTATTACAAATTTTCCTCCCTAATAAGAATAAATATTAAAAGATGTGCTGGATGTGGGAGACAGGAGGAATTTTTTGGTGTGAAAATGGAAAAGAAAACGTTTAAAAATTCAGCAATATTTGTCGACAATCTGCACAACTTCAACAGCTCAGGATTTTTTTTTTGTGTAGAAAAATCATAAAATTCCATAAATTTAGGAATCTATAAATCATAAAAATTTGACACTGCCCAAAAATTCACAAAACTTTGCTTCCATTGATACAAAGAAATTTTAAACTGCCTCCTGCAAATTCAGCATAAAAAACAGAACTCAATTCTAGCTAAATTTCATTGCAAAATTCTAGCTACAAAAACAGTCAAAAACACAAGTTCTAGAATCTGGTAATAACCCTTAATTTAGTTCTTATATGGGGTAAAAAATAACAAAAATAATAAATTTGTGAAAACTACAACAAAACCTCCAAGAAAGAAAAAAAAACTTTTTCTTCATTAAACAAGAAAAAAAAAGAAATATTTTAAAAAGTTATTCATTTTTTAATTTTTATTATTTGTTGACATGAATTAGTTTAAACGACGGAAGGACGAGGAAAATATTACAACACAAAACATGAGTACCTCCCAATAATCCAATAATAATAAATGAGTTTTTGTTATTGCACATATACTCTTGAAGAGATTGAGTGGTATGATGAGGTAAACAGGACCTATGATATTCATTACAGCTACTAAAGCCTCTATTTGCCTAGTCTAGAGTTCAAAGTCGACCAGTAAATCTATTGCAGTTGAGTTGATACGAATTGACTTTTCTATCGACTTTGAACTCTACACTAGTCTTCATACTGCTCAAATTCTAATTGAGAATTAAAAAAATAGTGGAAATTTTTTTAAACAATTTATTTTTATGTTTTGTTGTAATGAATTTTATTTTTAATGGTTTAGAAAATGATGAATATTTTCTGGTTGATGGAGATGGTTTTGTGGACTGTTCTATGGTTATTGTGGCTTAGATACAGCTAAACATCAAGCTGAGTTCAAGATAATTCAATCACATAAGTTCGATCCTTTGACTAAACTATGTTATTTCACATTTGCTAATGGAAACACATCTCCCATACCTAAAATCTTTAAGTTTTATGAGAAACAAAGGACAAACTTAATAATTGATTAGAATTAAAATCAGAACAGCTCTTAAAAACAAGAAAATTGATAAAAATGGAAAATTAATAACAACTAGCTACTAAATGACTCAAACTAGCTTTAAACTAGTTTTAAAGTGGTCATCTCTAGTTAAACTACATTAAAGAAGTTTTCTTCAAAATCATAGTTCATCTCTTAAAATGTCCTCTAAAATTTAAATAGAAGTCCAAAACCATCCACAACCAGAAAAACCCTTATTTTTATTATGTTGAATGAAATACAAATTTTTCAAACATAGTAAAATGAACACGATTCGTACATCGTGTGACAAACAAACAAAAAAAAATCTTCTTCGGTGTTGTTGTTGGGAGGTCCTAAAAAACCATACAAAAATAACAAACAACAACACAAAAAAAAGAATCTAAGAAAATGAAGAAAACTTCTCAGATCATCTGATGAAAACACGTACAAATCAAAGTTATTTTTTTCTATCGTAATTATTACTAATTAAATCTATATTAATATTAATATAACACAATATCTTTATCACAAGAAGAATGAAATGAGAAAACTCTATAAAATTAACTTAATAAGAACTAGATGTGTGTGTAAATAGGATATAATGAAAAAAAGTTTTTTTTTATACATTAACTATAACTATTAATGACTACAATAATTGATGATGCATAATTATATATAATGATGATGATTATAATACAGAATTAATATTTGATATAGTAGAAAAAACAGCAAAGACGTTTTTTTTTTGTTTTTCAAAAGTTGTCAAAATTTTTTTCAGTTCTTGATTCGGATTTTAGAGAATTCTTTTTGGGGTTGTGACTAGATATTTTGATGAACAAGTCATGAATT